TTAAACTGACCACCTCTACTGCATCATCAACAGGAATGCACGTAAAGAGTGATGTGACATCAAAAGAGACCATTGTTTCATCAGTCTCCATGATGACATCCCTCACCTTATCCACAAAGTCCATGGTGTTCTGTATGTGGTGTTCTGAGCTGCCAACTAAAGGGATGAGTACAGACGCCAGATATTTGGAAACATTGTAAGTGACAGAGTTAATCATGCTAACAATTGGTCTTAAAGGTACACCTTGTTTGTGGATTTTAGGTAAACCATACAGACTAGGCGTGGCCTCCCCTAGGTACAGTCTGTGGTACAGAATACGGTCAATAGCCTTGTCCTGCTCCAAAATTTTCAGGCAATCTATCAATTTCTTCTTGTAACCACTTCCTGGATCTCTTTTCAGAGGTTCACAAGTGTTTAAGTCACTAAGGAGTGTCATAACTTTCTCATCATAGTATTTCTGGTTCAAAATCACTGTGCACCTTCCTTTGTCTGCTGGGAGAATGATGATGTTTTTGTCCTTGCTAAGAGTGGTGAGTGCATCCCTCTCCTCTCTACTGATGTTGGAAGGTGGTGGTTTGGCATTGCTGAGGCAGGATGAAACTTTGATTCTGAGCTGTTCTGCTTCACCCTCTTTAATTTTGTTGTTGCGGATGGCTGATTCTGTGGCTGTAATCATCTCCACCAGAGGAATTGTCCTTGGTGCAACCGCAAAGTTCAGTCCCCTGGCAAGAATCTCTGTCTCCGGCTGGGTGAGCTGTCTGTCAGATAAATTCTTCACCCACTTTTCTGTCTCCCTGGCATGTAATTGACTAATGGAGTGTTGTCCTACACTGAATGTGTTGTTATTGGAATAGTGATGTTGTTGATGAGTTATTAGTAAGTTAAACTTGTTTTGTTGTCGAGTCTTGGACTTGACATGCTGTGCTAAGCGTGCCTGATCTGTACAGTCCAACACTTGCTGAAGTGTGGTCTGATCTAGACACATAGTTAGTTTCTGTTTAATGTGCTCTTCCTTGGCCTTCAAGGCCTCAATAGTAAAATTGGTCTGTCTCACCCGTTCATTCAGCAGCTGGGTCTGTGCCTTCTGAAGGATCTTGCTTGCCCGGTGCCCGCTGACCGATGATTTTAGTTCCAGGCTCTTGGGAATGATGCCACTTTGTCGACATTTGAGGTTGAATCGCAAGTGGTTCCTGTAGTCTGCCCTCTTCCTTGCTGTTTTCTCAAACTCTCTAACTAGTTTGAGGCAATCCTGGCCAAAGTGGTTCAAAATATCCTGATGCATGCTCAATAATCCAGGTAGAAAAATCTAAAAAAGTTAAATCTGGTCCTCTGGACATTCAAAAAAACAAAACAACAAAAAAATGTAGAAACGTTTCGTCTCTCATTGTTTTTTTGAATGTCCAGAGGACCAGATTTAACTTTTTTTAGATATTGTTGTTGTTGTTGTTATTATTATTATTGAGAGATCTCTCTTCCTCTTATGAAATAGGTGAAATTGGTTTATTTCAGAGACTCTTCATTTTCCTACATAAAGGCTAATCAGTGAGACGATTCTGTTTTTTTTGGTGTTAATTTTCATGAAGGAGTGTGTGAGTGGCGGATTGTTTAGAAGTTTTGGTCGGAACAGCTGATTTTTTTTATTAAATACAGCTCCACCCGCCTGAGTGAGTTTTATTTTACTGTTGTTTACAAATTGATCATATTTCTAACCTTTGAAAAATAATTTAAAGAACTCTCTTGTGCAAGTAGAAGCTCAGTTTAGACTGGGGGTTGTTACAGGTGTAATGTACAGCAGCAGCTCCATTCAATGAGAAGACGGCACGAGGTGTCGCTGCAATAAGCCCAGATTCTGACCAGTGCACGTTTTTATGCAGATTAAACAGATTTAGTTCAACGCTCGTCTTCTGGTCATGCAACACAACGCAGAGGGAACTATAAGAAGAATAAAAATGAACTGGCAGGTTGATATTATTTGGACCGAGCTGAATTACCAGCCGGTCAAAGCAGATGGTCTCTTGTCCTGATCCTGGTTCTGCTGGAGGTTTCTTCCTGTTAAAAGGAAGTTTTTCTTTCCACTGTTGCCACTGTGCTTGTTCAGGATGGGAGACTGCAACGAAGCCAAGATTCAATTTGTCTGCCGAATTCCTTAGATAGAGAACTTTACTAATTGGCTTTTATGTGAATGTTTTGTAAAGTGCCCTGAGACAACTTTGTTGTGATTTGGCGCTATATAAATACACTGAATTGAATTGAATTGAATTGAATTGAGGGCAGCACGGTGGCGCAACTGGTAGAGCTGCTGCCTCTCAGCGAGCAGGTCCCTGGTTCAAACCCCGGTCCAGGGGCCTTTCTGGGTGGAGTTTACATGTTCTCTCCGTGCATGCGTGGGTTTTCTCCGGGTACTCCAGTTTCCTCCCACAGACCAAAAACATGCATGTTAGGCTGATTGGTAACTCTTAAATTGTCCCTAGGTGTGAGTGAGAGAGTGAATGGTTGTTTGTCTAGTTTGTCTCTATGTGTCCCTGTGATGGACTGGAGACCTGTCCAGGGTGTACCCCGCCCCTCGCACAGTGATTGCTGGACATGGGCACCAGCGACCCCCGTGACCCAAACTGGAATAAGCGGGTAAAGATAATGGATGGATGGAATTGAATTGAATTGAATTAATATCTGGCCAAGTTCAGAACGATACACAAGCTGTCTAGACTAAGCCACGCCCACATACACTCGTGCTGAGGCACGTTATTGTACATTCATCCTCACTGGATGAATTCTGTGGCTGTGGGCGGACCTTGGGCAGAACAAAATTAGCCCCAATCAGAGCCCTGTAAAGAGAGAGTTGCGACACTCCCATAGACTCCCATAGACTCCCATAGAAAGAATGGAATGCGGAAGTCACGTGGGTCATGCAGCGGCAAAGAGTTCCAAACAGCAGCGGTTCAGCATTGAACGTAGTTCATTCTCCGTGTTTTCTCGGTAAGTTGATGCAAATGCGACACTTTTTTTTGCCACTGTGAAGAGTTATCTGACTGTTCTGTACCTCAATTTATAACATTAATACTTCATGTCGCCAGTTTTAGTTAATGAAACGTGTTAAATTGCTAGTTGTGTTTTAACTGCAGCTGCTCTGCAACACGACGGTTTAACAGGTTTATTTCTAATTCAACGTTTTAAAATATCTATCAAGTTGACTTCATCTGATCTTTTGTAAAAATATGTCAATTTATTTTCCATTAACATTTTTCTTCTCAGGACTGAGTTAATTTTCTTGTCTGAGTTTCTTCTGTCCTGCTTATGTATTTTTTGTGTTCTAATTGTTCCTCAGGTTGTTCATCTCTGTTCCCTGACTGCCTGTTGATCCATCCTCCTGGTCCTGTTGATCCATCCTCCTGGTCCT